ATGCCTGTTTCCTTCCCCAAATTAGGGAAGTTCTCTGCTATAATTTGCTCTAATATACCTTCTGCCCCTCTCTCTCTTTCTTCTTCTTCTGGGATCCCAATTATTCCCATATTGTTTCATCTATGGTATCACTTATCTCTCGAATTCTGCCCTCGTGATCTAGTAGTTGTTTATCTCTCTTTTCCACCATTTTTATTTGCACCTCATTAATAGCTTTTTGATTTCTCCTTAGATTTTAGTTCTTTTATTTCTCCAGAAAGGGTTTTTCTAGTATTTTCCATGCTTTCCTTAAACCCAGCTAGTATCTTTATAATTGTCATTCTAAACTCTAGTTCCGACATCTTACTAATGTCCGTTTTGATTAGGTCCCTGGCAGTCAGTACTGCCTCTTGTTCTTTTTTTTGAGGTGAGTTTTTCCATCTTGTCATTTTGTCCAGAGGAGAATAGATGAATGAGAGAACAACATGCTAACAGGGTAAGAACAACCCCAGAAAAATATACAGTAAACAAATCAGAGGAGACCTTCCAGAAAGTGGTCACTTTCCTGTTCAGAGAGTTGCCGCTATTGTTTTCTTCGATCTCCTGTTGATTTTGTAGGCGTTCAGAATGGTTTAATACCTTTCTAGCTGAATTCCTGGGACCAGACAAAATTTAGGTCTCCTACTCCTCAGCCATCTTACTCCTCCCCTCTCATCTTCAATTTCTTTCATCAGTGTTTTACAGTTTTCAGAGTATAAGTTTTTCACCTCTTTGGTTAGGTTTGTTCCTAGGTATTTTATTATTTTGGGTATAAGTGTAAATGTGATTTTTTTCTTAATACCTCTTTCTGCTGCTTCATTATTAGTTTATAGAAATGCAACAGATTTCTGTACATTGATTTTGTATCCTGTGACTTTACTGAATTTGTATATCAGTTCTAGCAATTTTTTGGTGAAGTCTTTCAGGTTTTCTATATATAATATCATGTCCTCTGCAAATAATGAACATTTTACTTCTTCCTTAACGATTTGGAGCTTTTTATTTCTTTTTGTTGTCTGACTATTGTGGTTAGGACTTCCTGTACCATGTCAAATATAAGTGGTGAGAGTGGATATCCTTCTCTTGTTCCTGACCTTAGGGGAAAAGCTCTGTTTTCCCCATTGGGTATGATATTAGCTGTGGGTTTTTAGTTGATGGCCTTCATTATGTTGAGGTATGTTCCCTCTAAACCTACTTTGTTCAGGGTTTTTATCATGAGTAGATGTTGTACTTTGTCAAATGCTTTTTCTGTGTCTGTTGAAATGATCATACGGTTTTTATCCTTTCTCTTACTGATGTGAAATATCACCTTGATTAATTTTTGAATTTTGAACCACCTTTGCAACCGAGGAATAAATCCTACTTGATTGTGGTGAATGATTTTTTTCAATGTATTGTTGAATTCAGTTTGCTAGCTTCATGAAGTTTATTCTTTATGGAGCGAATAAGCATTTAGGTATGTTAATAACCAGCTCTTTGTCACTTCAGGCATTTATTTTACTACTTCTTTCCATTACCTTCCTTTACTCCTTGTTACAGACCTTGAGACTTCAGATATAGGAACCATTTCTAGATTCTAAAGGTGGTTAAGGTTCCTGAAGCCCGAGGGAAGTTTAAATTTCAACAACTGTCTTTTTTTTTGCTTGTTTTAATTTTTTTTTGAATTATAGTTGACACGCAGTATCATATGAGTTTCAGGTGTACATCATATTTATTTGACAATTGTATACAGTAGGCAGTGCTTATAAGTGTAGCTATCATCTGTCATCATACAATGTTATTGCAGTATTATTGACAATATTTTCTATGCTATAGTTTTCATCTCTGTGACTTATTTATTTTATAACCAGCAATTTGTACTGCTTTTATCCCCTTCACCTGTATTACCCATTCCCCTTTCTCTTACTCATTACCCTTCCTCTTCCCTGGCAACCACCAGTTTGTTCTCTGTATTTGTGAGTATTTCTGTTTTTCTGTTTTGTTTTTTAGATTTTACATATAAGTGAAATCATATGGTATTTGTCTTTTGCTGTCTGACTTATTTCACTTAGCATAATTCCCTAGGTCCATCCACTATTGCTAATGGCAAGATTTCATTCTTTATGGGTCAGTATAATATTCCATTATGTGTATATACATATATGTGTATATATATATGTATTACATCTTATTTATTCATGCATCTATTCATGGACACTTAGATTTCTTCCATATCTTGGCTATTGCATATATCTTTTTGAATTAGTGTTTTTGTTTTCTTTGGGTAAATACCCAGAAGTGGAATTACTGGGTTTTATGAAATTTCTATTTTTATTTATGTTTTTTTTTTAAAAGGATTTGTATTTGTTTCTTTTTTTTTTTAAAGATTTTATTTATTTTTTGACAGAGAGAGACAGCGAAAGAGGGAACACAAGCAGGGGAGTGGGAGAGGGAGAAGCAGGCTTTCTGTGGAGCAGGGAGTCCGATGCGAGGCTCGATCCCAGGACCCTGAGATCAGGACCTGAGCCGAAGGCAGATGCTTAACGACTGAGCCACTGAGGCGCCCCATATTTTTATTCTTTTGAGGAACTTCCATACCATTTTCCACAGTGGTTATACTAATTTACATTCA